TCCCTTTCCCCTATGCTTCCCTATACTACATCAATTCTTGCAGTGACCAAAGAATAAAGAACACATCTAGTAATAAAGAACAATACAACTGGAGTCAGAAGACTTAGCATAACTATTTGATTCATATACCACCAAGGGAAGTATATGATGTATCACTGGTTGTGCATGAATATGGAAAATTATACACTTTTTTTTACTATTTATTAAACATACATTAAAAAAATATCAATTCAAGATATCCTGCCATACATACAAGAAAATGGTACAATCTAAACAGAACATACAACTTAAACACAAAAATAATAATAATAATAATAATAATTCACTAAAAATCAAATTGTCTATGTGGTATATATATTTTTTTTCATTATAAAACTAAATCTTCTATAATAACAATGAAACATATATGCACCACTATAATGTATATTTCCAATACAATCTGCAGTTACTTAACCATAAAATTATATATTATCCTCTAAATAAATTCATACTCCTCAAACCACTTCAAAAAGGGGAAAGTTTTGTGCAGTTGTGTGAGTGGTCAGGGGATTAAATATACGTAGGTGTAGGTGAGAGTTTAAAGTATATGGGTGTGGGTGTGGATATGAGTGTGTACATGTGTAGGTGTGTGGGTGTTGGTGTTGGTGTGTAGCCAAGTAGGTATTTGCATGCCAGTGAGGGTGGGAGCAAGTGTGAATGCATATGTTCACTGTTAAAAGTGTATTGACATTAAAGGAATATACTCTTTATTCAAATCACTAATGAAGAATATATGAAGGAACATTGTGCACTGGTCAGTGAATATTTCAGGAATTTCCCTGCCTACCTTTAATGCAATTAACCAATTCCGAGGTAAGCAACTTCATAAAGCTCTACTGACTGTTAAATAATACTGTTAATCAACTGATCAACACCGAGAGTTTGCATCATATTTTAATATCAAATCCGTACAAAATTTCCATATTTCTCACTTCACTAAACTCAAACTACAATTAGCAACTACCATAATTCTGTTTTGTATAAGGGAAAGAAGGAACATTTATAATAAACAAGTCTTGTAGGGAATTCAAGACTGTGATTTCTCGTCTCTTAAAAGCTTACACTACTCATGAAACTATATATTTACAACCACATATATTTTTACAATATTCCAAAATATACAATAACTGAATATTTCTCTTAAGATTATAGTGTTGCTACTTTAAAATCCTCATTTCTTAAATCAACAGGAAATAATAGCAAAAAAGATACAATAATGAAATGGGTATCAATACACACATGCTATGTACTGTACCTGTCTTATGAAAAAGGAAATTCACACAAAGTACAGTTTTAAATCTCACACATCACACAATATCCCTCAAGAACTTCCTTTTACAGCTTCCATAAGGCACGCTTAAACCACAAGCGTTCTTGTGTTCATTTATTTCCTTAATACAACCTTAACTAAGCTCTCACTTTCCTTAGTGCTTTAATGGCCTCTCTCTCTCTATCTCTCTCTCTTTCTCGCTCTGTAAGTATATATACATTACATAATAAATCCTTTGGTCCTAGAATCATGAAAATGAAACAGATAATCTGTGTAGTTTGTATTATAAGACCTGTTCACTTCACCCTTCATCTTTTGAGCACAGTCTGTATTTGACGTGACCAAACTCGACAGCATAAAGGGAAGTGTAGAGAAAGATTATGTGAAAGAGAAAGATTATGTGAAAGGGAAAGGAATATGTCTTTACATGTGTAAGTAAAATTCAAATCTTCTACACAACCTTTGGTTTTATAAAATTACTAAGTACACAGCTTTATCTATGTCAGATTTTCATTCCTTATATATAAAAAAAAATATTTGTTCCATATTACATGTCACAAGTAACTCCAATATTTACAGGAGTGCAATATTTAAGCTTTAAAGAAGTGGGCTAGTTATATCAAACTTCATGAAAATCACGTGTGATAGCCAATTATCTATCATAATGGATGTTTCTACCTTGAGCACAAAGATCAACCTTTCCATATTTAGTTATAAAAGCTTAATACAGTGCTGCTCAGATGAAACAAAAGTACTCCAAAAAATACTCATCATATCCAAACCCTATAAGGAGGTAGGATACAGAGTCACATTCTATCTTTAACTGACGGGAATCAAAATTAGCTAGTTCCTTATCTCAGCATCTGTTCTGCGACAACAGATATTCAATGAAAGCATGAATGCCGCCAATAAAGCCATAAAGAAAGAAACAGGGCAACTGTTGTGCTTAGGCATGTATGCACACTGGATGAAACACTTGCAACAGTTATCAAAAAAGACTCCTATTTATCCATATCATAAATAACCAAACTAGATCAATTTTCATGTAAATAATTGGTTATCAAAACACTAAGCAGTCTTCTTTAAATCCTTTGTGCCCATGAAGTTTTGAACCCAAAGACCAACCTGGGATTACCATGACTTAAAAGGAGAATGAATGAAGAAAAGGAACAAGGGGGAAGGAAGAGGCCTTATCTCAGCATCTGTTCTGCGACAACAGATATTCAATGAAAGCATGAATGCCGCCAATAAAGCCATAAAGAAAGAAACAGGGCAACTGTTGTGCTTAGGCATGTATGCACACTGGATGAAACACTTGCACAGTTATCAAAAAAGACTCCTATTTATCCATATCATAAATAACCAAACTAGATCAATTTTCATGTAAATAATTGGTTATCAAAACACTAAGCAGTCTTCTTTAAATCCTTTGTGCCCATGAAGTTTTGAACCCAAAGACCAACCTGGGATTACCATGACTTAAAAGGAGAATGAATGAAGAAAAGGAACAAGGGGGAAGGAAGAGGAGAAGGGCCAAGGGGAAGGAAGAGGAGGAGAAGGGCCAAGGGGAAGGAAGAGGAAGAGAAGGGCCACGGGAAGGAAGGGAAGAGAAGGGCCACGGGAAGGAAGAGGAAGAGAAGGGCCAAGGGGAAGGAAGAGGAAGAGAAGGGCCAAGGGGAAGGAAGAGGAAGAGAAGGGCCACGGGGAAGGAAGAGGAAGAGAAGGGCCACGGGGAAGGAAGAGGAAGAGAAGGGGCAAGGAGAAGGAAGAGGAGGAAAACAGACAAGGGGGAAGGAAGAGGAAGAGAGACATGGAGGAAGTATGCTAATCACCAACTTTCAACGATATTCTACTTCTCTAACTTCTGTACTAATTCATTCTAAGTACAACAGTAAAAAAAAAGAAGAAAACGTATATTTGCAGCACCTTTCAGTCAGCCAGGCAGATCCTCTTTATTCTCTATGATGATGATAAAACAATATAATCTGAACTTGACAGAAGACCAGACAGTCCCGAAGGCAAAGTACCAGTTTCTCAAGATACAACTTGCATACTGGATACCAAGTACATGGTATTCAATGCATTCAAATATATTAGCCATATGAATCCATTTTTCTGCTAGACTTCTATCAAGGAAGAGATAGTTATAGAGAAAACAAAATTACATAACACACTTCACTATCTTTTACAGCTCTTGCAAAAATGAAGAAACATATCACAAGAATATACATTTTAGCATGAATGATAAAATGTAAAAGAAAAAAAAAAAAAGAATTAGCACTGATAATTGTCTAATGTCACAGTATTTACCTCTAAGTTATACTTTTGTCACAGGCATAAAATGTTTTCACATTAGCCATAAAAAATAAAAAAAAATACAATGTTCATCTGACTGCCTCCTTAAAGGGTAAAGTATACATTGCACCATGAATACAGAGGCTTAATAACAATAAATGGCATATGCTATACCATATATCAAAACTGACTCTATGTACATTACTGGAGCAGAAACTGTGTGCATTACAAATTATTCATGTTATCAAATCTGATGTATTTCCTGTGAGGAAGAGAAGGGATCACCAATACGCACATCATAAATATGCACATACATATATATCTGTATATATGCATCAGTGTGTAACCAGAGACAAATATATGGCCAGCCTGCAAAAGTGACATAAACCGGAATGAGTTCTTTGCTTAATCAATTCAATCAACTCATCACTAATAAGTTTTGTATCTCACGGATATCTGAAGGACCTAAATCCACCATAAAGAGAATAAAAGGAAATATGCATTTGGTGAAAATGAATTCATGAACATTAAAATTCAAATTACTCTTAAAACAATAACAAACAGGAATACTTGATATGAACCACCATCCTTCCAATGTGAATTTTCTTCCAAACTGTATAACAGCTACAAAGGCTACTATTTTTCCCTGAGATTGTGATAGATAATAAGTTTAGTGCCAATGTATTCCATGAACAAAAGTACCAGAACTCTCCCACCCAGTACACAGAAGGGACTCCAATATCTTCAGAACCTCCTTCAACTTTTTTTCTACAGGTATCAAAATGTTTTTGGGGTCAAATTTGCTTTTCTCACATGATGGCACTAGGTGGACTGTCACTAGTGCAGGGCTGGCTAGCACTAGTCTATACACATCCTTCTGTAGTAACTGCCAATCAAACTCCCCATGTCAGTCACAGCTTCCATTACAGTTCCCTGACGCGCAGGTTCTTCAGACATCTCAAAGCCATATGTAAAATGCTCTGAAAAAGAAGTACCAGTTACAGAAAATTATGTCTATACGTAACTTTATATGCACAAATAATATTGGATCCCCTGATATTAGCTCAGAGCAAGCATCACTTAATCAGAATAATAGCATTAGTGCCACACAAAACAAACAGCAATAAAGAAAAAATAAGTAAATGAAACATGAGGATAGACAACAAATCTTGCTCTCGGTGGGGAACTGGGCTGCCACACTTTCCCTAAAGTTCATTCAGAAAAAATATGAACAGAAGCCATCTAGGGGGGGGGGGGGGCCATGACACAGATCATGACAGTGAAATTAGTGTAATAAGAAAATCACACTGGCTTATTGAGATCAAAGATACCTTAATGGGAGCAGCTGGCCCATAGGCACTCTCAAACACGCCTACAAAAGGAGGAGAAACTGAAATAGTACTCAAGGTAAATGAAGAGTCACAAGCAACAGAAAGAAACAATAAACAAAATTCTATCTTCAGAGGATAAACTGAATGGTTGGGAATTTTGGCTGAAAGAATGATAACAAGTTCATAAATAAAAAATCTGAATATCTAAAGGGCACTGATCTGAACAAGAATAATATGTGGAGTACTGAAATATAAAAAATAACAAGTAATTGGACAACCAGATAGAAAATGAGACAAACTAATCATAGCCAAAAAATAAAAAAAAAGCATCTTAAAATGATTGTAGACAAGCATGAAATAAAGGCATTGCAAACAGAACAGTGAAAGGAAGAACAAGACAACACACAAATATGGCATATTTGTATGCTTTCTTGTTCTTTCCTTCATTGATCTACTTGCAATTTGTCCTAAAGATGTCCTCAGACCATCTGCATGATATCCTATTAGATGCATACATTTTAAACACAGGACAAATATAATGTACTCATTTCTTAACGTCATAGAAATATACTATGAAGCACTTTTTTTTTTTTTTCTCTCTCTCTCTCTCTCAAAACAAACGGACTTCAAAACTGAGAAAAAGAAACATCTATAAAAAGTTAGCATGCTGAGGGTAGAGACAAAAAAAAAGGGGAAAAAAATGGAAAATGGTATATCAGTAAGTCATGGAGAATACCAGATTCCCACTTAAACAAGATGTATTTACATGTATCCCAGTATCCTAAATATATACCTGCATGTACATACACTGATACCTAGTTATGGGCCTTCACATAGAATTACAAGATAGCTTATATAAAGCAATTACATCCAAAGTAGAAAGAATAACAATATGAGTAAAAAATAGATAGATAGACAGATAGATAGAGAGATATACAGATAATTTAGCTAGCTAGTTAGATAGATAAATAGATAGATAGACAAATAGTTAGATAGACAGATAGATATAAACATACCTTTATAATAGTCTTCATTTTGCTTCAATATCTCTACAAGTTCAGTGTTGGTCATGGGTCCCTGAGTTCCACCTAATTCCTCTGGTAACTCATTGGCTGGGATGTGTTTGTGGAGGCTCTCAAGGTCTTCTCCGTGGAAGTGCAACTGTTGGTGGAGAAAATATGTAAATAAAATCAACATGTGTATTTTGTATAAGAGGGTAGTTGCTTGTTGTAACTCTGAAGTGTCTTCTAACATAAAATGACACAAAAAGCATCATATGTATTATATATGTATATATCTTGTAGAATTATCTAATATGTATCCAGTACCATTCATTGGGATTTATCTTGACTTGTATGTATGTACCCATTATTAAACAAATGCAATAGATTATCTATTGCAAAATCAACCTATACACTATGTAAGCACATATGCAAACTTTGTTTCTAAATCCATGTTTAATTTATATTTAGTCTGGTAACAAAAAAAAAAAAAAAATAGCAATATATTCTCGCAGATTTTTCAACTCCTCAATATGACGAAATCACTGGTGACAGCTCATGCTAACGATGAGAATTCTGACTGATACTATATGCAATACTAACATAATCTAAAAGTAGCATTGCGAGGATACTTACTCGTCCCTTTATAGTTTCAGAGAGGAAAGGTTTGACTAAGCTGAAGACCCAGTCGAATATCGAAGGCTCGTGAACAAAGTGCAATGCCTTGAACCTTAGAGGAAAGACTTCCTGCAAAATGGGTTTATAAAGAATATGATCAGAAATTTTCATACATCTACTTGCATATAAGAATATAAATTTCCACACCAAAAATTCTGCAAGAAGCATTAACGAAATAAAACATATCAAATGATGAATAATATAATATCCTTCCTCCATACTGACCTGGACAACGGAAATCATGCGGCGAATGTGAGTCGGAGTCAGATAGTAGGCATGAGTCATGGACAGCCCAGAGCAGTCAACAACAGCTGCTATTCCTCGAAGCTGTGTTACTGGGACCCGTACAACATGCTCCAACATTACTACCTGAGACCTGAATATGTCATCTAGGGTGCAGATTTCAGGTAACCAGGCACCTACAAAACAAAACGAAAGTTCAATAATAATTCTACCAACTTTTCTTTATCTGAATTGTACACTTGACTCACTCGTCCAAAGAAAAAAAATCATCATTTGACTAAAGTAAGAGTATGATGAAAAATTCTTATCATTTTGCACAAAAGAACTATCAGTACATCTGTAAAATATATAATCATGAATGAATAAACTTGGAAGTACAAATAAACAAAAAGAAAAATTCTGCAAGGCATTATCCATTTATTCTTTTCTCTATCTATTTATTAATTTTTCTTTCCTCCTTTCTTTTTTTCCCCCTTAGAGGATGCTTTCCTTGACAGTACTTGCACCAACAATCACGAGTTTATTGCTTTACCTGTTCTGAAAATGAGGACAGTTCTCCCTAGATTGTCTGGTGTTGGAAGGACCGTCTGCATGCACAGTGGCCAGACGTGATCCAGGGCTGACGGAACGAGGTTTACATACA